GGGGAGTGGGGAGTGGCAGTTCTACGGGGGTCGGGGGGTCGGGATGGAGGTGGTGTATTTGCAGGGAGTGGGAGTGAAGTGTGGTTATGTGTGGGGGGTGAGAGGGGAGGGTAGGCGGGGGGCGAGATGAGCGGAATGTGCAGGAGGCGTTGCTATGGTGATCGGGGGTGGGGGTGAGGGGTGGGGGTGATGTGAAAGGCGGGAGCCGTGGGTTTCATGGGGTGGGGAGAGCGTTGGAGGGACGTGGCGGTTCTGCAGGGAGAAGGGGTGATCAACAGCCGGCGGGTTGGCTCAACAAGCCGAGCGCCCATCCTTCTGGGTGCTGTAATCACAGCTTGGGTACCCCCAAGCTGTAACGCCAAGCAGCTGACAGCAACAGCCGTGATTGCAGCCGCACAGCAGGGAGCCGCGCGATTCGTCTCTGTGGCGCCACACGTTGCACATACCGCCCAGGGCACTCTCGTGATTGGACTTGCGCGCCGCACCCGGTCCCCCCCATCCCCCGCACTCTCCCCTCCCCGCAGGAAGCGCAAGGGCTTCATCCGACTGGCCATGCAGGCCGGTGCTGACGTCATCCCCGTCTTCGCGTTCGGCCAGTCACAGACCTACAAGTGGCTGCGGCCGGGGCCGCCCTTCGTGTCGGACGCCTTTGTGAAAGCGCTCTCGCGGCGGATAGGTGGGCGCCGCCACGCCTGGCACCATTGCTTCCCCGCCCTTGCTTTGCCCATCGTGCCATGCTGGTTTCCCTCCTTTTTGGGTTTCTGACGCTTTCAGCTTGAGCCATTGTCTACTGTCGGCCATCTGGATCCGCGCACGAGCCGACCCATGGCGTCTGCTCGTGCACGCGCGCTCCCGCCCCGGCAGGCATGGCGCCGCTCCTGCTGCTGGGCCGCTGGGGCACGCCGATCCCGCACCCCGCGCGGCTGACGGTCGCGGTCGGCGCCCCCATGAGCCTGCCGCGCCACGACTCGCCGCCGGAGGAGCTCGTGCAGCAGCACCTGGATCGCTACATAGCCGAGCTGTCGGCGCTTTTCGAACGGCACAAGGCGGCCGCAGGCTACAAAGACCTAGAGTTGCGAATCCTGTGATATGCTCAGCAGATGGGGCGGATCGCGCCGGGGGCCTGGCTGCGCGTACGGCGGCGCTGGGTGTGTGCTTGTGGCACTCGGTGCTGTGCTGCATACTAGTAGCTGCGTCCTCGTCTGCCTGGCAGTTCACCAACCAAACATGTGATTTTTTGTTTGTAGCAGCATTTGTTGCACTGCTCCATATTTGGACTTGACCCCTTTGTTGTAGCCTTGCATTTTGTGGTGATACTTGCAGTCAGGTTGTGTGCAGGATGACAAAACACCAATTTTTAGACGAATAGAGGGTGGCATAACCAGGAACCCATCAGACGTGTCAGCATGGCCCTAAGTCGCTGTGCATGACAAGTGGCCACATTTTGCTACCAAAGGAACAGCACCATTGTAAATTCGATTTGTGATACTTGAGCAATGCGATTCCCCATGGCGGATCGCGTGTCGAGGGCGGCAGCCCTGCGCCTCGGCAATGCCCACCCCGCTTCACGCGCGCACCCGAGCGCTGGGCCGCTGCCGAAAAGCGCGCCAGTCCTCCAGGGAGCCGTCACTCTCGCTGCCGCTGTCACTGCTGCCCAAGCCTCTGCCGCCCAAGGCCGAGGCAGCTGTACCATCACCGCCGCGGCCACCGCCGCCACCGCCGCCGCCGCGCCCCGCTCCGCCGCTGCTGCCATTGCTGCGCGTGCTGCCCCACTCGCCAGAGGTCCCCGCTGATGCCAGCTCAGCGCCCCTGCTGCTGGGGCGCATACCCGGGTCCACGCCGCCACCAGCGATGCCAGCCGCGGGGCATCTAGCCGCAGCTGTTTCGGCCATACCCCTCAGATCGACCTCGTACGTCGGCCTCCACACCGTACCCCTCACTGCGCCAGTGCTCGCCGCGGCTGCGCCGCCGCCACCACTGCCACTTGTCGCGGCGGCCCGCAGGCAGACGGCGTGCCCGCCGCACCCGTCCATTTCCGCCTGGCGACCCTCCGGCATTGTCCACATGCAGCCGCCGCCGGCTGCACCAGCGAGCGGACGGGGCTTGGCCGCCGCGGTCGCATCAATTGGGGGCGCCTCCGGACTGCAGCAGGGGTCGCCCGTGGTGTTGGGACCTTCGCCTGGTATACAGGGCGTCACTCGCCCGCCCGTCACTTGCAGGCTGGCCAGCAAGGCGTCCAGGTCAGCGTCACACATGGGCAGGCCTGACAGCAGGCCCGCCTCGGCGCGCTCGGGCGCGGCTGGCGCCGCCGCGCACACAGGCGCACCCTCTGGCGCCCCGCCGCCGCTGTCGCCACCGCCGCTGCGGCTGCCGCCGCTGCTTGCGCCGCTGCTGACGCCGGCACCGTCGCTGCTGCTGATCGCCATACTGCTGCAGATGTTCCTACTGATGAACGGATTCAGCGCCGTCGCCGCCCCTATAGCTGCAGCTCCCTGGCAGTCAGCGCCAGCTAATGTGTGCAAGCCGGTGGCAAATGCGCTGCTGTCGCAACCAGGCTGGGCTGGCGTCCACCGCTTGCCCACGGGAGATAGGAAGCCCTTGTTACCTGCATGAAAGAGATACGGGGCGTTGAGGGCGCGCCATTTCACCGCATCATGGTTCCCGCCGCTTTTGTGCGCGGTGTGCAAAGCGGCAGCCACCTTCTGCGGCATTGGGCAAGTCCAGCGCCTCGCTGTGCGTGTCGGCCTCGTATCCAAGGACTCCATATGCTAGGTTGAAGAAGCACGGGGACTCGTAGCCATCTGTGGAGGCGCCATCGCTCTCCGCGACAGTCGACGGAGGGCAGACCACGTTCAGCGTCATCGTGATCAGTTGTTGCGTTATTAAAAGGTTGTATGCACTGATATAATCGAATGCTGCGTCCTTGCAGAAATTTACGGTACTGTACAGCTCCACCGACAGCAACAGACGGTTCTGCGTCACCGTCGACGCGCAGCACACCGTGCAATGCAGCGGATGCCATCCGCAGTATGTGTCAAGCGAGCGACGCTGATAACACTGAGTGGATGTTGCCGCAGCGGGTGGCCTTCGATGCTGAAAGTGTTGGAGGTTGCCTTGAGTCGTTGACTGCCAGGTGGAGTGTTAATTTCGGACGGCAGGGGGGCTGTCAGTCAGAGCCGGCAGCGGGGCGTGCGGAGGGCCGATGGGGGGCGCATCTAGGTTGCACCTGCTCATCTGCTATGCACCCGTTGTGAAAGGCGGTTGCGCGCTGGTGTCAGGAAGCCTGCAGTTCCCTGCAGGCTTGTCAACGACGTGCTCACAGCCACTCAATGCGTGGGGTTGACCATGCGTGTCTGCTCATACACTGTTGATGCTTGTCATACATGTTGCCCATTCACATGTGCCTCGTAAGGAGGAATCCTACGCTTCCTCCTCCTCTTTGTTATGTGCGGAGTATGAGGATTGCTTTGTCGTGCACAATGGGGGCCGGTGCACAACTGGCGCCGGGCGGAACGGCCACTGCAATCACGCAAACTTGATGGGAAGCCAGCAGGGGCTGAGCCGCGATTGCGAGGGCTTACCCTGCTGCTTCTGGCTTGCTTGCTGCTTGCTTGGCGCTCATCCACCACTTGCGCTGTGCGAGGGGGTCTATGCATACTGGCATCTGCCGACCAACAGCTGCCAGGGGCCTCCAGATGGTGTCCTCAAGGGTGCAGATCTTACAGTGGGCCCGTGCGCGGCCCATGCAGGGGCGGCGCCACCGGCAGAAACCACCGAGCCAACGAGGAAGCTAAAAGACCGCGGCAGCCATGCCTGCGGTCGACCAAATGCATGCAAGCGATTGTGGCCGCCTGGCTGCCGCGCAGCCGCCTTCTGGAAGCTGGCCGGAAGCCAGGCGTGCACTCGGAGCTGGCTGCACGCCGGAGCTCATTGCGCGTGACAGCTTTGTCGCTGGTGACGCAGATGAAGTGCCTGAGGCCGGCTTCCCATCGCGCATGCCCTACTACTTCCGCCACACGTCCCGATTCCGGAACCAACAACATGCGCGGGCGCTGATGCGCCTGCGATGCTGCTCTCGCCCCTTTGCAGCATCAGGGACCCTTCATTACAACACCCCCACCCACTGCCCCCACTGCGACGGCCTCGGCCGTGACAAAACGGCTGAACATGCTCTGCTTGATTGCCCCGCGTATGCAGACCTGCGGGCCGAGCCGCGCTTTGTGCCCTTGTTTGGGAATCTACCCGCGCTTGCGCGCATGCGCGCGTTTGTGCGCAGTGCGGATCAGCACACCTTGGGGGCCTTCGTGCACGCCTGCGTTGAACGAACGGAGCACGGTAGCCACCTAAACCCAGTCACACAACTAACGATGGTGCTTTACTGTTCAATCCCATGAGCCTGGATGCCTCCAGGAGCGGGCGACCGCGGGACGCTGCGACAATCCTAATTCTAATCCTGGGCATCATCAGGCCCCTCACATAAGCAACCATTGCCCATAACAGGACTTACTGTGCAGAGCTGCAATTCTCCCAAATGCATAGGTATCCGGTGTTCTTAGGTCAGCACAAGGCTGCTGACGCACATGCTGCTGCGCCTGGGGATGGCTACGGCACAAGAAGGGGGCAACAGCTGGCACACTGCCAGTGGCGAACTTGGCGGACTCATCACGTGCATGTGGATGTGTGTGTGTGTGTGTGTGTGTGTGTGTGTGTGTGTGTGTGTGTGTGTGTGCGCGTGTGTTTGCGTGCGCTTGCCCTTGAACCCCTACCCCACAACCGGCGTGCCGGCCCTCCTGCTGTGTGACACCCATATTGTGATGTATGTTCACCCACGCCTAGGCCTCAAGGAGTCCGCGGCCTTGGCTTAGCGCGGTGACGAGCGAGGCAGGGTGGACTTAGCTGCCAAGTTACAGGTATGACAGGCCAGGCTGACTTGGCGTGACCGGGCAGTGGCTGCGGGCCATTTAGGTGTACGGCATTGGGGTGTATGCGTTCGATCAGTTGCAAGGCGGAAGCCGAAATCCGCACAAGGGCCCAGGCCCTGGGAGGACGCCCTTAGACCCCAGTACAAGCGAGGCGTGCCGAGCTCAGGCAACAACAGTGAGCGCGAAAGACAGGCTGACAGGAAGCGAGTGCGATGGGAAACATCATGCCGCGAAAATTGTTTTCTCCCCTTTTTTATGGCGAACGGAAACAATAAGCAAGCAAGCATGATCACTTTGCGTGGGTCGGAAGCAGGGTTTGAGGCCAAAAGGTGGCAAGACATGTGGTGGCGCATCATCACTGACGCGCCACTCCTCAAGGACGGCAGCCGCAAGTTCTTAGCCTGGACAGAGCAGGGGCAACAGGGCCACCACGTGCTCGCTGTCAAATGCATCACGCTTGGTTGCTTGTGGCGTTCAATGTTGGTCCATGCAGGCGCTGCAATTCGTGGGAAACTTGCAACCAATTGCTGCAAACGAATGTCACGTTGTCGTGAGCAAAGTGAAGTTTTGCTATGATCGTGTTGTCAACGTGGGGGAAGATTGTGCACGTGCAAGTGATCAACAACAGAGATCCAGACAGGCCCACCAGCGGTCGCGCAAAGTACGCACACGTGGGCAGGGCAAATGCTCATCATGAACAAGGGAGCCAGTACTGGAGGTGTTTGCGTGTGTCAAGCAGTAGTTGGTGGCACGGGCGGTTTGGGCTGCATCTGTTCGCGTGCGTCATGCACTTGGATTTCAGAAGGCAATGCACAGGACGGGTAGGGTCGAGGCGCAAGGAAGTGTTGATGCGGTGAACGACAGCCACGAAATACTAGTACTGCCCAACTCTCCGGGCCTGCCCGTGGCTGTGTCGGAGGTCCACCCAACGCAAGTGTTAGGGTCGGCTCTGCCGTCCCTGGAGGTGCCCGACCACCAGAAGTCTCCTGCAGACACGCCCGCACTGCCCAGGCTCGTCAGGATGCTGCCCCCCAGCAGGCCCGTGAAGTTCCTTGCCAGGATGGTGCCGCCCAAGGACTCGATCGGCAGGCCGCCGGGGACGCCGTACTTTGTGGGAAAGTCGAAGATCTGGTCGGACGCCGACACAGACAGGAATGCGTGCGCCCGCGCCAGCCCGGCCGGCCGGTTGATGGAGGCGCTGCACAGGGCGTCGGCACCAGACCGGCCACCAAGGATCCCGGTCCTGTCACTTGAAGATTCGCGGTAGATCACGACCCGAGCGCGCAGGTATTCCGCCGCAGCCACGCCCCCCAGCCTGACCGCGTTGATGTTGGCCAGGTCGGTGATTTTTGCGTAGGCACTGAGGTCGATGGCCGACACGTTGGCCACACTGGCCGCCAGGGCGGCAATGCTGGTGTTGACGGAGACAATGGCTGCCGCGCCCGTGGTGACCGTCGCCTTCAGGGACTCAAGAGTGGCATTGGTCAGGGTGGCCGCCGCCGCGTCCGCCGCCTGGGCTGACGTGATGGCGGCCAGGGTGGTGTTGACGGCCGCCGCGTCCGCCGCCTGGGCTGACTTGATGGCCGCCAGGGTGGTGTTGACGGCGGACAGCTCCGCGCCGCAGGCGCACTGCTGCGGAGCAGACTTGAGAGCTGCAGTGTCTGCGGCCATGGCTTGATTTGCCGCCTGCATCAGGGCCAGCTGCTGGGCAGCGCGCGTGTTGGCTGCTGCGAGGGCGGCAAGCTCCTGAGCAAGGATGCCGGGGTCGGTAGCGTTTGCCGCGTTGGCTTGCAGCTTCTGCACGTTGGCGGTAATTGTTGAGGTCGTCGCATTGAGCTCATCCACCCGGGCGCGCAGCACCGCTGCCTGGGTGCTTCCCTGGGCAAAGGTGGCCTGCAGGGAGCTGGCCTGGGCGGCGGCGGCAGTGACCTGGGGCTCGAGGGCTGCCAGGTCAAAGATCACTCTGTTGACCTGTGCGGTGGTAGCCACGCCGCAGCCGTAGTGCAGCTTCTTGGGGTCCTGGGAAGTTGGGAAGTTTGCCGATTGATTGAAGGACTGAAAAGCAGCTGCAGCGCGGAGATGATGACACCTTGCTTGCGACACGTTGATGGCCAAAGTGGCGCGTGGTCCTGCAAGAGCCGCAGTTCCCTCACCCACAAACAACCATGCAAATCGTCACAGTTTCGCCGCATCTACTTGCTGCCATATCAGCACTCACTAGACAATAATCTGCCCAACTACACACGGTTGCATGCGCATGTCACATGTCAGTGGTGGCCCGTGTGCGTGTGTGCGCGCACCTTGCTGTCAGTCGTCGCGTTGGCGGGTGCCAGCAGCTCTCTGCACAGCTGGTCCATGAGGGCGGTCGCGCCGGCCTTGGAGGAGCACGACCTGGAGAGGGTCCTGACGGGCGCACACTGCGCGAGGTTGTGCGACAAACACAGGATTAGGTCCTGCTTGCACCTTGGGGCGCTGGGCTTCAGCAAGCCAGGCACACTGCACAGCAGGGGTCCGATTGGGTTGCAATCGCCTTGCAAGGCACAGGCCCACAAGGCCGCCGGTAAGCGACCAGGTGCTGTGCGCGTGCAGTCGCGCGTCAAGGCTGTGTACGGCATGCAGGCGTAACTCACCACCGCCAGCTTCTGCTTCTTGGGGGTCGCTTGGGGGCTGCCAGCGACGGGTGCCACGTGGGGCGGAGCAGCGGGAGGGCGGCGGTGGGGGTCAGCATGAATCATGACGACTGCTAGACTGGAGGCATGCAGGCTTATACATTGCAAGTCGACAACGCAGGCAGGGATGGCAGCAATCCGAAGCTCTCGGTTGGGCGTCACCAATTGTTAGGCTGATACCAGTATGGAGAAGGCTTCCATGAACCAGGGGTGGGGCCTATCGGTGCACGGCCTTATTTGCCCCCAAGTACCGCGTGTGCGCCACTTGTGTCCAGGCGCTGGTATGCCACAGCTGCTTTCAGGAGTTCCCTGCACATCCCGGCCCGGGCCACGCACGCCTACCTGGCACAAATGACCCCGCTCAGCACGTTGAACAGCAGCAATACAACCACTGAAGACATGATTGAGCTTCGTATCCACCTCATGCTGGGTCTGACGACGTTGAGGGGGACGTTGCGTCGATGAGACTCTGAGCCAACAAAATCCCAGCTCGCAGCACCGTCCCACAGGGGGCTCGAAGAGGCAAGTGTGCGGCAAGCAGCAGAGTGCTTGAAAGCGAGTGGGGAACCCTGCCCGTACCCGGCCCACCAAGACTCGTATCACAAATCACTTGAGCGTGACGGCAAGTCAATCTATGAGAGCAGCAGAAGGGGCGTGGGTTCCAGAGAAAGCGGCAAAAGGGGACAAAGCTACACAAAGTGTGCTCGTGCTTTTGCAGAGGAGATTCTGGCGATGGTGAGGTGAAAAGCGACGCCAACGGTGCCTGTCGGTGAAGGGAAGCTGGCGGGATCCGGAAGGCTCATATGAGTCATAATGGATCAAATAACTAAGCCAAAACTCATTGTGTATCAGTCCTAGTTGACCGGAGCATGGTCATGCCATGTGAGCGATTGGTTTTACTGATTTACTCATCTCATCACCACCCTGCAAACTTGGGTGGCGCAGCTCATTTAGAGCACACGCGTGATTGATTACTCATGTGCTTCGCCATACGAGTGCCGGTGGAACGGGTACGGGCAGGGACACCCCACTCGCTCTGCGTGCCGCACACTTGCCACTTCTCGCCCCCCTCTGATCATGTGGGACGGTGACAACCCCCTACGACTCGAAGGTAGTTGAGGTATACTTCTATTACTGGTTACCTCAACTTCTTTCCGTGCTTTCACAGGTGTGTACTCGCACGCGGACTCTTTGAAAGGTTTGTGGGTGCCCCCTAGTTTCTTCTGCCAGCTTTCATCACCACCCAGCCGTTGGCGCGGCC